AAGTTTTCCAATGCATCCACTGCAAGAAGTGAAAAATTATTAATTTTATCGTTATTGCCTTATTCATGGTCAACAAAAAAATTTATGGATCAATTTAATGCTAGCAGATATATTGCAACAGAGGCTAAGTTGATAAAGAAAGGTCATTCGTCAAAAACCGCAAAATATGGCACAGCCTTAAGTGATGAAACAAAATTGGCAGTAATAATTTTTTTTTTTGAAGATGATGATATAAGCCGGGCAATGCATGGTCAAAAAGTTTATGTGTCTGTCCAGAAAGAAAGAAAACGACAAGCCATTCAAAAAAGATTACTAATGATGACTTTGAGAGAAGCTTATAAACGATTCAATGAAATTCACTGCAATGTAAAAATTTGATTCTCTTAATTTGCAAAAATCCGCCCTAAGCAATGTAAACTTTTAACCAGCTCTGGAACCCACAATGTTTGCGTGTGCACAACGCATGAAGACATCAATCTAATTTTACACAGTTTGAAAAAACGTAACCATTTAAATGATGTAAAAACGTTCACTGACAGCCTACTTTGTGAAAACAAGACAACATATTGCTATCTACGGTGTTGTGAAGATTGTTCAGACTCTTCCGCATTAGAAAAAGTAATTTTGAAGATAATTACAATGTCAAATTATGTTTTTAAAGGATCAAAACAAATTCTTCGGTTCACACTTTTTCTTCTTGTCTCCAACCACAATATTCCGCTATCATCGTTTATCCGATTGCTACAACCACTTCCACCGGGTGCTCCACATGTCGCATCTCACTGAAAAAACTGCAGTCTTTCAGCATGTGATCCGTCGCTCCGGAATCCAGGAACCACTCCATTTTCAGTAGTGCTTCTTCGGGTGCCTCGAATGCAACCTCCGCTCGATCCGAAGTACGATCTCCTGCAACACATACATTAAGGTTTCGATATTTCACTTCACCTTTATCCTTTATCTTCAGATCATGCTCACTCAGATCCGTATCTATTGGCACAGGGCAATCAGCTTGCTTGTGCCCAATTTTTCCGCACCGAAAACACTTCTTCTTCCTTTGAGTGTGCTTACTCATCATGGCAACAGCCTCAATTTGTCCGTTAGGGGCAAAGAGATTCTTCTTCTTCGTGTCCATAACGAGCATAAGCTTTTTCAGAAAGTCCATTGTTACACCACCGAGCAGCATCACCACCGAATCAAACGGCAATTGTATGTAAAGCACTTGGTGAGTGTTGGCCAAGTTTTGGATTTTTGAAATAATCCTAATAGGTCCTAGATTATTTAAAACTCTAGTAAATCTCAAGTCCGTGCTTTGTCACAATATTTCATTGTGATCAATCAACACTCAATGGATGAAGAGCTTTGAGTGGGTTGGTTTATTTCCTTTAAATTCCGTTATAATTGCTTATCTTTTGACAGATACGCGTATTTCGCGTGGATACCTGCTGATTTTTAGTACCTATTAATTAGTATATAACTCGTAGATAAAATATGGATTCTTCAGTGGTGTTGAGTACTTGGCACTGATGAAGTCTGCAAGTAGTAGACGAAATACGCGTATCTGTCAAAAGATAAGCAATTATAACGGAATTCAAAGGAAATAAACCAACCCACTCAAAGCTCTTCATAAAGGGATTCCGTTTAGAGGTTCGATAAATTAAAAGGATTACTCAATGGATAAAATTAAAATTTAGGGTGGTTTGAAAGAAAGCGAACATGGAGTGTAGAGCGCACTGCCCACTCGATGTTTCTGAAGCCTAGCCAAGTGAGTGAGTTATGGGTTTCATTTTGCACTCATGTTTAGATTTGAAACTAGTAAGTATGTGTCACTTTTCATTATGATTATCGATACTCAGAGTGAGCGCTCACGAACAATAAAATCTCAGATTGTGATCCTCTGAAAGCAAAAGTGACAGGTTTTATGTATCAAAAACATACTTTACAATCTCTTCTTGTAACTTACAAGTACTAATTAACTTTATAACATCTAATCTAGACTAACATTTGAAAGGGGCGGAAGAGCCAAAATGTAAACAAACCATATTTTGCCACATATAGAGAGAATAGTTCACAAACTACTCGATAAATACGAAAAAGTAGAAGAAAATATCATTCAAATTATCAAAAACGTTTCTTCTTACATGGCGTATTTCCAACTTTCAAATCTATGATAAATCTGGTTGTTACGCCTTGCACCAGAACTACGAATTATATGGTTTTAATATGCCAAATGTTTTGATTCTGTAGTATCTAGTCACGCCCGATTCATTTGAAATGCATCCGATTGATAGTTCACGTTTAAACAACGAACAAAAAGCAGACCAAAAAATCTCCGGGCGTAATTCCACTCTCACAAAATTTGCGAACGAAGAACCAAGGCGGAACAACAAACAAAAAATCCCGAGGGTGTACTTCCACGGCGTATCACCAGTGTTGGCAGTTCAAAGGGTGGAAGATCTGGGGGGTAACAACATGTATGAAATTATCAGGGCGTATGATGTTTTCTTCTCAATTTCACGACAAAGAAAACTTTTTTTGAGTTTTTAGTGATGCACGATGATAGATTACACTATTAACTATATGTCAAGCTTATAAAATCAACCAGAAAATGGAAAGTCGTGAAATAGGATTAATTTTTAGGTCAACAAAATTCAGAAGCGATTTTCTCGATATGGTCATTTTGGAATTACGCCCTTTTCAAATGTTAGTCTAGTAATGATTACATAATTCTGAAAAACAATTTTTTATAGCAAGTGAGTGGAAGCAACCCTAGTTATTGTATGGGTGCCACTTAGAGGAAATCATACGGTTTATGGCTTCCTATTATGCAGTTCAGCTCGTATCGCGGCATGCCGTGCTCTGTGTGTGCATTTCGATGCGTTTATTTTCGGTCGCTGCAGTTGTCGATTCTGATTTCGGCGTTGGTCGTGAGTTGATTCGGCCGGTGAGGGGCTACCCGAGCAAAGTCGGTTAACAAAATGAAAGCAAATCGATAATAAAGTGTGCAGTTCCTATCATAATGAAAACTCATTTTGATTTCAAATGTTGCGACATAAGTCTGATATCATATTGTGCTTTCATTATGCAGTCAAGACGTTTTAAATGAAAGCAACTTAACCTGAAGTTCTGCTGTTTACGTCTTGTTTAAAATTTAATTGAAATTCATCTGTCGTTGAACTAATGATTATCGTTTATCTGATTTGTTTAACACATTTTAGGTCATTCGTGACTTGCCCGCGGTGAGATTGGAGCCTAAGTCTTTCAGCTTGAGAAACATGAATGGTAACCATTTACTCTAGGCCCGTATTCAGTTAAACATTATGAATGCAAAATCAGTAATCAAATTGATTTCATTGAAAGCAGGATTAGTTTTCCGTTTGCTTCAACAGTGTAAAATTTTGCTCTCATTTTTGCTGTGTTAATCGTTAAGTCAACCAAAATGAGATCAACTGGAGTATTCAAAATAAGTTACATCATAACAGCAAATTTTGATTTCAATTTGATCTTCAGCTTTGCTCGGGTAGTGTTGCGTCTTTCAGATTGTGTACTAGTGAGCTGAAGCTGTTGTGTCGCGAGTGATTGGTGATGGAAAGTGGTCGCAGTCCTTTTTTCTCTGCTGAGATCGCTCTAGTCGGAGCAGCTAAAATGTGTTTCGTGATTGTTGGGGGTTTTCGCTGCTGTTTAAGGAAGGAAAGGCGAGAGCACACGCACCGGTTGAAGAAGTGGCGGCAGCATATCTTTGAGAGCTATTCGAAATCATCGTGATTTCCCTTGCACATATCAAGTGCGATCTTACCTTTCTTTTTCTCTTAACTTTCATTCCATTATTATATGAAACATTAAATGCTGGGTATGTGAGAGTGGAAATTCCAACTCCTTGTCATTAACATTTCGTGAATAGAGAACGGGCTCTGCTCCCCACTCAATGGGACATCCTCCTGTTGCATGGCTTGTTTTTTTTACCGGTTGTATGATCCTGTGGTTGGTAGGAGATTCTCATTTGTCTCGTGGATGCACGTGTTGCCCATGGATTCACCCAAACCGGTTTTTGGCCCTACATACAATGACAGGTTGAGTACAATTAGAGGTTATTAAACTTGATCAAGTCGAACAGCGAGCATAGTCCAAAGTCTAGTGACAGTTGTCTTGCTACAGTGGTAGTTCCAAATCATCATCATCATCATCATCATCATCATCATCATCATCAAAAAGCGAAGTTATTATTTTAGTTTAAATCTTGATTTGAGAATCGACAAAAATATAGTTGTCCTCAAAAAACGATGCTTTTCAGATGACATATAATAACCGATATTTTGTTTCAAAATTAAAGAACCCAATTGTTTATATCTAAGAAATAAGTATTCATATGATGATGAATTAATTTTAATGTTTGATTATTTATAACTTCTACTTATTCCAATTTATCCCAACGCACTGAGAACACATGCAGCGTAAAGCTTTAATATTTTTTTTCGCCCGAGAATAAATGGTATATTCTAGATACAGACACGATGAACACCCTGCTTTCAACAACGGACATGATCTGGAGACGAACAACAATACTCAACATGGCACCGACCCGGCTTTCCGACAGAAACAAAGTAAAAAAACCCAAATATCTAATTACTGTATTATCGTAACTATTACTCAGGGGGGCCTCTAACGCCCTCTTCTATGAAATAATTGGAGATGAATCAGCCTGCGGCTGAAAATCTCGATAATAAAAAAAGTATTTTACAATTTTTTAATACTTAAATTTGCATTTGTTTCTTATTACAATCATCTGGGGTAATTAGAAACAGGTGGTCGCCATAAACATTATTTTTCAACTGTAGACTGCTGCAGATTAGACAATCTAGTATTTTGCACACATAAGTTCATGATTATGATCAACAACATGTATACAAAACTTACGAAATACATTCCAACTTGACAGAGTTACAAAACTCAGGTGTTTCTCACTACCCTGTTTGTTTCTTATTACCTCATCTTCCCCTACTTACCTTTATGCCGTAATTGCTCTCTTCGTATATTATGGATATATAGCTCCAACCAAGCTTTCGCACGATGTCTACTATTGCCTTTACTTGGTAATGATCAGAGGGTATAGTGCGCGAGAAGTATTCGAATCTCTGTTTATTGCTCAATTCTGGACTTGTAGAAAAATATGATACCTGGAACGAGATGGATTGTTAGTATAAATACGTTGCCACTGAAAGTGAACCATCCTAAAACTGCAAAAAAGTGTGATAAAAATGTTCTCGTCAAATTGTTTCAGTGTCTTGGGCGCACTTATTTGTTGCTTCAAAAGGAATGAGTGCACCGAAGACACCATGATGATTGAACGGAAATTCGCACATTTATCACACTCTTTGATAAGTTCAAACGCACATATGTGATACATCCGCAATATAAGGATTATCCTATTTTTTCAGTCCATACGATGTTCTGATTCCCTAATAAAAATTGTATGGTTAATTTGCTTAACGACGTGTTCTGGGTATCATCCAAACCATTTGTGGAATAGTTCAATGATTTGGGTTATCGTTCGTTTATGGTTATTTTTTATTAGAGTTATCACCCATATTCTCGTTTTCATTTGAACCGTATTTTCCATACCAAAAACTTTCTCTGCAAATCAAGTATAGAGTAAATGACCTTAATTTTAGCCTGAATGTCCCTAATATCAGGCTCGTACATACATTTTGAAGCAATGCTTTTTTTTTAATATTTTCAATAGCAATTAAAAATATCAATTTTTATTGTCCAGATGACGCTTTGTTCCAATAAATTTTTTTGAGAATATGAGATTTTTTGCGATGGGCCCAATCTTTAGATCCATAGGTCAACATTAGAGCCGTTTCCCATATGACATTTGATATCAATATAGCCTTTATTAGGTAGTGGATGGTCTGATCATAGTACTAGAGACCATCCATAAATGACCTAGCATATTTTTAACCAATTTTAGCGTATTTTGATATACCTAATACATAACCGGTAGCAACTTCTGCAACATACCCTCCTCCCTCCTCAAATGCTACGTCATTTATGCATGTTCCCTTACAATACCACCACAGACAAACAGACGTAACTCGTCATTGTGTATCTTCGTTCACGCATTTAACGGTTGATTTGAATATTATCAGTTTCGCGAACTACTCGCCGCAGCGCTGGCATCGGATCACTTTGACATTTCTATACATTCTATAGAACTTTCATGCAATATTGTTTGCGAGTTAGGGAGCAAGCTTGTTTTCCGCGAGAAGCCTGAGAGATGTCGCTACTGAGGTCCTATGTTTGGAGATACTATGTTTTCAAGAAAAACTTTTTCAAAGAGTTACGTCTGTTTGTCTGTGATACCACCTTGCTAACCGTTACTCGAAATAATGCCAATGTCTCCCGTTTATAAAGATATAACAACTTCAAACTTTCTCGAATAATTGATACTTGGAAAAAGATGATGGTTTCAAAATTTTGCAGGGCAAGGTATGGAAAAGAACTCTTATAATGGTAGTATAAATTTTCTGAACAAAGTTTTGTTTTGGTATGCGGGAACAAAAAATTGAAATCTATGCAAAAATTTGAAAAAATTCCATTACGTTGTCTTAAAACATTACAATTATTTACTACAAAAACTTAATTTTGTTTTTTAAGATTTCTCTAAGTACGCGTAATAATATAGGAAAAAGCGTGACACAAGATGGGAAAGGGGTTTGGTTTGTAAACAATCGAAAAACTTATGGACGCCATTTTTGAAGGGTATTTTTTATCTCTAAAGGGCTAATTAACTAATTACCTGTGGAATCCTAAAAAGACGTAGTAAATTAGCCACCTGGATGGAAGTAACTGATGAAGCAGCTCCAACTACTCCGGAAATCACTTTTTTTTTATGTCCTTTGCTGCAATTGTTGTAATCCGTCGCTTCGTCTATATTGCTGATTGACCCCTTAATAAAATCTACAGCCATTTCCAGCCCATACGTGTCCTTATCGCAATCGTCTAAAATATGCGCTCCAATGGTTACGTTGGGTATGAGATTTTCCATGTTGATTTTATCCAGTGTGTATAACATGGTTTCTAAGGCCTGTATTCCACCTTGTGGCATTATAGGCCCACATGTTACTGAGTCTTCCCTGGAGTGCACCATCATGAGACCACCCAGAATAAGGTCCCCTTCTACAACTGCTTCGCGTTTAACAGGCCAATGAATGACATGCGGTAGTTTGGTGTTATTCCGTTCTTCTGCTATAACATTGAGGCTATGACGCACAAAAAACTGGTTTTTATGGAATTGTTGAAATCCATGCCGTTTGTGTTTAAAGGTGAATTTATTTTGGCACAAGTAATGCGGTATATTTCTACTACTTTTGTTGTCATGTTTTTCTACAAATTTTATCTCATGTCCGCAATCATCAAGATTGTAATATTGATACCGATGCCGATTTCTATAGTATCCGTTGTGTAACAGTTCACGTCCATTAACGTGCAACAGAAAGTTCATCAAACATAAAATAAAATCAACATTGATTATCAACATCAAATGCTTCATTTTCTATTCTATGTAGACTTTTGATTGGTTGCACATTGCCGCAATGCAGAGAAACCTGTAAAATACACGAATATTATATTAATTATGGTGTGAAGAACATTGAAATCTATTTGAGAAAAAAATCTTTAAAATAATGGAGAAGTCGTCTGATGAAACATTATCATACAAATATATAATAAAGCCGTCGGGCAGGGGAGAGGGGAGACGTGGAATCTAAATGGTGATGGTTTCTAAATTAAGATGGTCACTTCTTCTTCTTCTTCTTTCTTCTTCTTCTTCTTCTTCTTCTTCTTCTTCTTCTTCTTCTTCTTTCTTCTTCTTCGTATTTCAAGCTAATTGCTTATCGCATATTTACTTATTGCGTGCTCTGAACTTAGTATTCTAGATGCACTTCGACAGTTATTAATCGAGAGTTTTCGATGCATACACGGAAACCGCAAAATACGCAAAAATGACTATAAAGGACTCAATTTTGACTATAAAGTATACATATTCGGCTAAAACGGGACTACACCTAAAATGTGTGTATTTTTTACACCTTTTATGAGTATCTGTTACTCATAAATGCATAAATTTTATTCATTTTTGTACTAGCAACTACTCATAAATGTATAAAATTTGAGTCATTTTATGGGTAGTCCCGTTTTCTTTAAAACATGCGTACTTTATAGTCATAAAAGAGTTTTTTGCGATTACCGTGTGTACCATTTTTGCATTAGTATAATTGTGTGGCAAGTACAATCATACTCTTATGCCCAGGGAAGTCGAGAAATTTTCCAATCCTAAAATTCCTAGACCGGACCGGGAATCGAACCCAGCCACCTCCAGCATGGTCTTGCTTTGTAGCTGTGCCTTTACCGACAGAGCTAAGGTGGTCACCTAGCTGTTTTTTTTTTTTACTTCTCCAAGCACATCCGAAACGGCAATTTAGCAGTATAAAATTATTTACTGCTATTCATTTTTAAAATTAAGTGTCTTCAGAGAAGTTGTTCATATTGAAATGGGCCTCCTTTTTTATAGAAACGATTATAAGGGTGGTCCTAATTAAAACCTTATTCAGAAATCTAAATGTCTTGATTGCAGTTATAGGTGGTTCCATTTTTCAACAATTGACGGGTCTTAGACAAAATCGTCAATGCAAGTTTGTTATATAGTGGTAAAAAAAATTGTCCAAAAGTTGTTGTTAATTTTTTAAGAAGATACAATTTTTCATAAGCTGCAAAGTTTCATTAAATTTGAAGAACGTTGCATAGGATCGATTCGTCATTTGGCGTGGAACTGTTCAATAACCTCATGAAAAACCATGACAATAGAGCTGCATTTATAGCAGGTTCCCTCAGGAGCATCCCGGTGGTCCCCGAACGGCCAATATGGTGAATAAAGAACCGCCGAGAGGAATGTTTTTTTTTTACAATTATCTCCTACTGCTGGTTCCCCTGGGCATAAAATTTTTCTCAGATTAGCTAATATAAAGGGTGTATTCGATAAAAATGGCACACCGAAAATCTTCTGTAACTTTTGAACAGTATGAGTAAAAAACCTGAAAATATGAGTAAATCTAATTCAAAGTGTATTGTTTATATCTATCAAGTCGTCATGTCGTCGAAACAAGAAATTGTCAATGAAAAAATTGTGTGCACTTACAATCAAAATCCAGGAAAGTGATGCAACAGTTCAAGAACCGTCCAAACATGTAGTTCGAGATGTCGCTAAAAAGTTCAAGGTGTCAGTCGGGTTTGTGCAGAACACCATGAAGCGTGCTGGATTACATGTTTACAAGGTGCAAAAAGCCCCAAACCGGAATGAAAAGCAAAACATCATTGCGAAAACCCGCGCCCGAAACTTTATACGAAGTTGCTTACCAAATCGTGTTGCATCGTGATGGTTGACGAAACTTACGTCAACTTCCTGGGCAAGAATATTTCATTGCCAAGTCTAAGTTCGATGTTCCGGAGAATGTTCGAAAGAAGAAATTTTTTGAAATTTGCAAAGGAGTTCCAGATCTGCCAGGCGATTTGCGGATGTGGTGAAATAAGCGCTCCCTTCATCACTTCTGGAACAATTAACGGTGCTATTTACACGGAAGAGTGCCTTAAGAAGCGTCTCTTGCCATTCATAAGGAAGCACAAAGCATCAACTCTGTTTTGGCCTGATCTAGCATCCTGCCATTACGCTCGAAACGTGTTGGAGTGGTACCGAGCCAACGGAGTCAATTTAGTTCCAAAAGATATGAAGCCATCAAATACACCGGAACTTCGCCCAATTGAAAAATTCTGGGAAATTATGAAGACGGAACTTCGCAAACATCCCAAAACTATTAAAACAGAGCTGGAATTGAAGAAAATTTGGGTAAAAACAACAAAAACACTGGGAAAATCGGTTGTACAAAATTTGATGGGTGGACTGAAAAGAAAAGTGTGAGCATTGGGATGGGAGACGAAAATGAACAAAACAAATTTTTTATAACATAACTCATTAGGGACCATTCAATAATTACGTAAGCATTTAGTGGGGGAGGGGGGGTTTTCAAATTTCTTACGATCTCTTATGATGGGGGGAGGGGGGGTTCATACACATCTTACGTAAGAAAAAGATTGTTAGTGCAGCTTTCCAAATAACAATTCTAGTATTTCCTAGAATTGCGTTTAATCTTCAATTTGCTGGTCCGTACTTCTGACAGTAATCACCATTAACTAATGAATACCTAATTCTGATCTGGTACCAAAATTTGGTATTGACCAGCATGACATAAGAGGAAAAATACCAAAGAATAATACCAACAATGGTGGGGTTGTGTACAAGACGTAGACTACGTTAAGCTGTGTAGTGAAATTCTCGTGCATTTTTTCTAGATATTGATTTAAAATACATTAGAAGCATAGAGGTAACTCTAAGACCACTGGGTCCCGGATAAAATCATAATTATTTTTGGCTCACTCAGTACCAGAACAACGGTCCCAAGCAGTCCCAAGCTATTTCACTCACCCCTGCATGTACTGCATGAATCCACACACCCCTGATGTTATCTGTCAAACTTTCATAGCGAATCAAAACAAACATAGTATAGTAATAGAATTTCAACTAGAATAGGGTACGTTAATCGTTTGCTTGGGACCAATAGGCTACTAAAGTGGTGAGCCAATTTAAAATCGTTAGTTTCGTATTGATTGTTGGTAGAAGTAACCTATGATTTCGGTCCTATGTACATATTTTGGATTTCCTACTTAGTAAAACTTGGTTGAAAATAACTTACGAAATGTCATGTTGATTCAGATAGTCACAATCAGCAATTCTACGAATCGCGAGCGCTCACTCTGAGTGAACGCTCACGAATCATAAAATCGCTTATTGTAACACTATGGTAGCGAAATTGACAGGTTTTATGAGTCAAACACTTGCCTTTCATCCTCTTCTTGTATCTAACATGTACAAAATATCATTATAACATCGAATGATTTCAAAATTCAGAAAATCATTTTTTTATAGCAAGTGAGTAGAAGCAACCCTGCACGAGTTAAATTTAACTCGGCAATTGGTACACAGCCCAAGAAGTATTTCTCGATTACTTTTTCGAAGGAACGTATCAGCACAAACGAAGTGACAGACGGAGCGGCTCGAAAACTTTGACTGGATTGAACTAGCATTTTCACCAAATGTACTAGAATGTTTTGGTTCTATCTCTTTCACTCTACTCAAAACATAAATGCATAAAAAAATTACAAAATGATACACTCTTTGCACACTGTCAAAGAATCATTGTACACAAAATCTACTTTGTGCAAAACCAAAACAAAAATACTATCCCATCTGGTGGATGATGGCACAAGCTTCTAAGAAAATTCTATTACAGCGAACCACACTATTTTATTTGATTTCTTCGCCAGTTAGTCGTCTGTCACTTCGTTTGTGGTATCAGCTTTTGTAAACAACGCATTTGATTGTCGATTTGGCGCAACTGGTAGCTCGCCCACGCATTCTAGTACTACCATCATTGTTATTTGTTATTATTTATTTGTCGTCAATCAGTGTAGACCGTTTTACAATTGTTGTCTTAAGTGCTATTTTTACAATTTTGTCTTTGTTTATATTTTTATAATATGTCTTAAGAACAAGTTAAAACATTACTTCTAGTTGACGTTATGCGACGAATTAAAATATTGCTTTAATTTGGTTTTTGTCATTGTAAAGTCAATGTTATCGCAGTGCTTATTATATGTATCCATCATTTGGTTCAAGGGTCCAAATTTGGCATAATTCGTACGATGACGATTTGTAGCAAATATATTTCTATTTCGTAAATGCCTAGATGGTGTGATGATGGATGACAATAGTTCTATTGAATCAATTCGATGTGATACGATATCGTTTACGAAATAAATCATAGCAAATTCACGACGCTTTTTTAATGTTTGGATATTTATGAGCATACACCGAGCTGTGTAAGATGGCAGAGGAAATACAGTCCAACCTAACTTGCGGAGTGCATACAATAGAAACTGCTTTTGAACGGACTCTATTCTTTCTTCGTGTGTGATTGAAAAAGGTGACCAAACTATGCTGCAATATTCTAATATTGATCTTACATAAGCAATGTACAATGTTTTAATCGTATACGGATCGTGAAAGTTATAGCAGAAACGTTTTATGAAACCAAGCATGTTGTTAGCTCTGTTAATAATTGTGTTATAATGATCGGTGAAAGTAAGTTTTGAGTCCAAAATAACACCTAGATCCCTGACTCTATCACACTTTTCTACGATCTGGTTTCCTAAAGTGACTGTTATATCGGGTAGCTTTTGTTTTCTACTAATGGTAATGGAGTTACATTTTTTTATATTTAATTGTAGCAGGCTTTTTTGACACCAAGTATGGAATATTTGAATTTCCTCTTTGAATGTGATGATGTCTTTGGCATCTTTTATTTCCAAAAAAAGTTTAATGTCGTCAGCATATATTAAAACTTTCCATTTCTTAATAATGAAAGATATGTCATTGACGAAGAGAATAAATAAAAGTGGTCCTAAATGGGAGCCTTGAGGAACTCCTGAAGTGACG